TAGGGAAAAAAGCTTAGCTCATGCTCCATGATTTTTTAAATGTAAGCATAACACTTGTTTGTGGCCTTTCCCCAGCAGGACTGCTGTTCTGAGTCTCTTTGCTTCTTTGGATTCTCACCTTCTAATAAAATTATGGCTTTATTTTCTGCTATAATATAGCCTGGATTACCCTTCCATCATTTTTCACTGCTAAACCAAATTAGTTGCATTTTCTTACAGTAATAAATTATATAATAGTAAGGTGGTATGAGCTTTAGTCTTTCAGCGTTGTCTTATCCATTTATGAAAGCATTCAGTTCAACTCATCACCTGCTGCTACTTGTATTAGTGTTGGAAATCCAAATTTACAGTCAGTAAGCTTATTACAGCAAAAAAACAATGCTTTTATAGGACACTTAATGCTTACTGAGGCCAGAAGTCTGAGAAGCAGAGGGCATAGTTTAACTCTTTCCTGTGAAAATAGTGTGGAGGGAGGTACTATAGACTCCTCTTTTTCTTTGCAACAGAACACCTCTTTGGACCAGGAAACTTTCCAGCCACTTCTCCTGTACGTAGGAGTAGTGAAAGTATTACTTTACCTTGTTCCTGTTTAAAAATGCCAAGTACAGCAGCTGCATCATAGGCATGGAGTGACCTTAGATAAATCAGTTAATCTTTACCTCATTTGCCCTGCTTGTGTATTTAGTATGATAGCTGTTCAAAGATCCAGTGAGGCTAACGTTAGCAAACTATGGATAGCATGTTAATTGGGGCTGTACATCTACCTAAAGAGATCCTCCCGTGACATTTCACAGTTCTGTATTGTATCCTGTGGAATGCAGCAGCTTAAAACTGCAATGTTGATGTTGAGCTGTTTAACCAGCTGAACCACCATCCTCTACTCAGTAACTTTTTCTTGCGTTTCTCATAGAGATGCATCATTGATGGCTATGAGAAGACGTATTGAAGGCTTGACACCAGAAGAAATAAGAAATCTTTCCCGAGATGAAATGCATATGCCAACAACTATGGAAGACTTTGAAATAGCTTTAAAAAAGGTTTCTAAATCTGTATCTGCTGCGGACATTGAAAAATATGAAAAATGGATAGTTGAGTTTGGATCATGCTGAGATGTCTTATCTTGAAGAAGCCACCTTACGTCTTAAAACAGCTTCAGAAGTAATAAGTAGTGTGTCAGTGCACTGAGTGCTCTTTTTAACTTTTGTAATTAAATTTAAGAGCAACAGATACCTAAATAAATGTTTTTTAAAATGCAAATTCTCTCTAGCTCTTCTTGAACTAGCTCAAAAGTTATTTCTTATCTCTCTTTTTCAAATGTTGAAGTTATTGATGGAATCTGCTTTGATCTTCAAGGTTCTTAAATGCGACTTAAATTTAAATTTTCTAGTAAGTTTTGCATCAGAGGTTTTTTTGTGTAATAACTGCATTTTAACCCCAAAGAAACTAGCCCTGCTAAGTGACTGATGGATGCTGAGAACCAGAAAATGGTAGGAACAAGGTGCAGTTATGCAGATTTGCTAGCTGATCCTAGAGATCTCTAGCCTTAAACTCTTTCTAATCTGTTATTAAAGAGCCTGTACAAAGGTTGAGAGTTAGAACAGCAGCCCTTGCACTGTTCACAGTTACGAGAGTCAACTTAAGGTTTAAGCAAGGTGTAAGATCATCACTGGAAAACGGTATCTATGAAGTAGTACTAAAACTCATCCAGTCAGTATAAACTAGTTGCATGCAGCCAGCTGTGGTGCAGACACATGCTAGAGGTGTAGTCTACTTGTAATTCTGAGAGAAAATGGAAACTTCCTTGGCATTACTTCTGAAATATTTTTTTTCTCTTCCTTATATTGTACTGTAAACTTCAGCCTCCGACCTACCAATCTACAGTTCTGGTTTACACTATGTGTCTTTACTGGCAAGGCTATACTGATAAAAGCAATGTGCATGCTATGTTTGTGCTCAGTTGAGGCCTGCTTATAGTTCTGATTTTACAAGTGATTGATTTACAGTTTAAACTCTCTTTTTGCATTATTTGACAAGTGGAATGTAGAAACAGTTCTCCTGAAGACAACTTGACAGTGACCACATAGGTCATAATTTTAGACTTTACTGAATTTAACTTTACTGGTCATAGTAACCGAGACCTCCATCACTTCTGCCCGTCTCTTTTAAACTACCTATTACGTTTCAAAAACGTTTCTTCCTATTAGGTCACCCCAGATCCAGATGGCTGTAGTCCTGTTTACAGCTAAATTCCATGCAACTTCATGAACCAAATAGGTTTAGACTTGTTTCAGCTGGTAGATAGGTGTAATACAAAAGTGGAGCTGCTGAATTCCTGCTAATGTGTCTCTTCAGATGCTGCAAGGCAAATGAAAAGGACAAACGATCATGAAAAGGAAAATGTGCAGTCTAAGTAGAAGGCAAGTGAGTCCCAGCACACAGGTCTACAAATGCCACTGTTAAAGAGTCTTGTTACTGTACTTAAGCTTCACTCCTATGTCATGAGCAGTTGGATATGCTGAAAGAAGAATTTCAGCAGTGACACGGTGACGAGACATTTTAGCAAGGTGCTGAGGTGCAGATATTGTTGAGAGCTCCTGAATACCCCAGTGGACCTGACAAGGGTGAACCCAGGAAGGAAGGAACTTTGGTAGGTGTACAAACATAGAGACTTTAATCTCCGAAAGAGAAAACAAATTAACTTATTCCTTCTCCTTTCAAAAGGACAAAGTTAAGTGCTCGAGTTCATAAAAAGATGCAGCATTTTGAAGTGGGTTCTCTTAATACTTACTTTTTTTTTTTTGGTCTGTATGTTAGGATGAGTATATATCTATCAGTTGGGCTGCAAGGTGGAATTTCTTCTCGTAATTAAGTGCAAGCAAACCAAAATATTGAACCTGATACCTGACTAAAAAGGGAAACTACAGAAGGTTTAGTCCTTGGAAGCAATCCAGTAAGGGGCTATGTAAGACTGCAAGTGTGACTTATTTTGTGAACTTGTAAGGTAAACATTATAAGGAAGAATTTTGGTTTTCCAGCTCAACCAGCCTTGTTCAGTCTGAATTAACTAAATGAATACCTACCTGTTTAATATTTAATTTGACAGAGGAAAAAAAGTAATAGATGCTGAATTCATAGCTTAGAGGTTCATCTCGTTTTGGCAAGCAGAACATGATGATACCTACCCCCCCTTCAGTGGAGTGCCTCTGTAGGGAGGTGAGAGACAGGCTGAGTTAAGCAATACTGTTTGAAGGGTGGAGAGACACTAAGGGTGAGACAGAAGAGCTGCAGTGAGAACTAGGGTTTATGACAGTAGGACCTATAAATGTCTTTCCTAAGGACCTACTGCCGTCTGACAGAATGATTGCTTGGCTAGCAACTGTATGTAGCCTTGTCAGCTCACGTACCTGGAAAACAGGACCTACTGTGACCAGCACGTGGGAGCAGTTGCCTCTTTCCATTGCGTTATCTCTGATAAGGAGATTTTTAAATCACTTTACAAAATGGTTCAGCCTTGCAGCTCACAGTTGTCCCTGCTCAAGTTAGCAGTCCTCTGAAAGGTGTGAAACTTTTATGACTTGGGAAAACCATACACATGCTAAAAGAGTTTGATAGTGTTATGTGTGTGTGTGTGTGTGTGTGCGTGTGCTTTTTTTTTTTAAAAATACTTCATAGCTCTAGCTCCATAGTGCAGCAATGTTCCATCTGTAAGTACTGTATTCCCGATCAAGATTTGCACTTTTTTTTTTACTTAATTTATTTAATCTGGTAGTGTTTCTTTCCTTATGCTTTGATTTTTTTTTTTTTTTAATTTTTTTGTGGTAGAAAACAATATAAGAGTAAGAGGATTATTTAGCTCATTGAAATCAGCCACACTGAAGTAGTGCCAATATTTCAGGCTTATAATGCTGTTCAGAACAGCTGAAACAAATAAACGAGCAGTTAAGTCTTGTTGCTGTGCAGGTGCTTGGTTTATAGTTTCATAAGTAAGAATGCAAAGAGCATTTGCTAACAGCTGCTGAATTTCTGTCTGTGTTGCAATCCCTATTATGTTTGTGTAGTAAGGAAGAAGTGTTGTATCTGCCCCCTCCACCCTTTTTGCTCTAAAAAAAAACCTTAAATTTCTGTCTTATACACTTCTATTTAAGCTATGTTAATGAAGAAGCTAGGGTTATGTGCTTTGATTTTAAAAAAAAAAAAAAAACCTCATTCTCATGTGCTTCATGTGCTTCATGTGCTAGTGGAGGAGTTACTCTACAACTGTTTGAAGACTTGTTTCAACTGTTCCTCTTGCCTGTGTAGTCTTGCATGTTCATTCCTATGCAGTCTAAATGGCTTCTGGTTTAGCCAGGGATGACAACTACTTCTTTCATGTGTTTTCTTGCACTCAGTTTCATTCTTCATTCAAATGTCCCTATAGCTTTACCATCGCTCATTTCTTAAATTGTTATGTGATCGTTTTGGTAGCTCTCTCCTGCTAGAGTCCTGAAAAGCACTGCTAATGATTCCAGGAACGTTGATCACTGCCACTCATTCCAGATCAGAGAATCTGCCCTACTTGAACTTGTTTCACTGCCCATGCTGGCCTGAAGCACCCAGCCAGTTGGGATGCACCACTTGTGTGCTCCCCTCACCTATGATCCTGCTCCTCTCAGCTGGGTATCTGATAGCGCGTGTAAGGAACCGAAGGCAAAGTACAAATCCAAAAAGGGGGGGGGGGGAAAGGAAGTTTAAGGTAGGGTCCTTATTGTCTTCTGTAAGTGTACACCACAGTGCTCTGCCTTATTTTTTTGTTGCATGCAAAGCAGGGGTTCAGAGAAAGCAGCAGGACAGTTCACTGTCTTCCTAATTACAGTATCTGAAGACGTAGAATAGCAGGAGTTACAAATGTTTCTTCCACTTACTGCTGCAGTACTGACAGTTTTACTGAGACAACTCTGAGTAAATGCAGGCTTACAACTGTTCTGTGACAGGAACAAGCACCTGAATATC